ATCAAACGACGTCATAATTATTTAAAAAATTAAATAAAATACCAAAAACATTTAATAAAAAACTAAAAACATCCCCACAACTATAATATTTAAATACAACACTAAAATTTCATCATTCATTACTTGATTTACTTCTAATAAAAATCTTCAAACATTACACATTAAAACCAAAACAAAAGTTGATTAACAGTTAATTTTTTTTAACTTTTTTAATTTTTTATTGATGGCCGGTTCTTAGCGGTTCCGGTCCGATTTGAACAGTTCACAGTTGGTTTAGCGGTTCCTTACGGTTCACTAGTATCAATTTAACCGAGTTAGAATAAACCGGATCTGACAGAGATTTCCGGTTGAACCGGCCAGTCCGATTCAGTTTTCAAAACATGGGGTGTGAGCCTCGATGGCTCACGGTCGAGAAAGGGAGGGAGCCTTGGAGATTTTTCTCAAAGTGGAGAGGCGGCAGCTCATTTGATATAAGGTTAAGTTTAACCTAAAATAGCACAAGTTGGTATATATACCAAGTCATGAGGGGTTAATCCCGTCCAAGCCCCTTTACCTTTACCACCTATTTGCATTTTACTCCCCTGTCATGCGAATTTTGATTTGTATTACAGTGTTAAGTTCTAATGTTGCTATTTTCCAGTTTTATTTTCATTATTTGTTTAGGATGATAAGTCTAGGGTCAAATCATGCATAAGCCCTCCTACTTAGGCGTGTATTTGCAAAATGATCACTGTTTACTCATTTTTCATATGTTTCGATTCTGATGCTCTGATTTTCTTAATTTTTTTATTTTAATCACTTACTGTTTGTTTAATTTATTTGAGTTAATGTTCGATTGATCTTGCGGTGACCCGATCCGGGGTATAACTCGTATTATTATAATTCGGACCCTTTTATTGTTTTGTCTTCTGACTTTACTAACCCCTAACCATTAACTATTAACCGTTTATTTATTGCACCTAACCTTGACTCAAACTTGTGGTAACTCAATCCGGGGTAAGACTCACATTATTACGATCTGGATCATTTTATTTTTTACTAATAACTTTTCTAATTTCTTACTACTGACTTTTAATTTTTTGTATCTGAATTTACCGTACGACCTCACGGTGACCCACCCCAAGGTAAGATTCGCGTTATTACTGTCCGATTAAAATGCTAATGTTACTATCCTCTTATTACTAACTTTTATTTTATTTTTATTATTTATATTTATGCCACTAAATGCTAACTTTTATTTTACGCATTCGAACAATTGTACGACCTTGCGGTGACTCATCCCAAGATAATATTAGCATTATTACGGTTTGGGTTGAAAATTAAAATGACAATTTCTTTCCTTGATTTCTCTTTATTTACATTCTAGAGTATTTTAATTTTTAGTTTTATTATTTTGCTCTTTTATTTTTCAGTATTTACATTTTATTCCTTTTAAATTTCAGCATTTATCGTTTAATTTGAGCGTCGTATTCTGTTTTATTTCATTTTAGCCTTTCATGGTATTTATGAGTTTGTTTCATTTCCATTACACGTGATTTACCTTATTTATATGATTAGTCCCTGTACTTTTATTTATTTTATTTATTTCCCTTTGGATGTTGATTTTATTTCGTTCTTTATTGATTTTCATTTCAGTCTCCCATATTATTAATGATTTTAATGCAAGATGACCCCCATAATTTTCCATCAATGTAGATCCAACCTTTGATTTAGATCTTTCGACTTTTATGAATTTGGCCCCTATTTTTTATTTTATTTTTATTTTAGTCTTCGTACTATTATATGTGTGGTATTATACTACCTATTGTTGTTTAAAATGGTATAATACCTCTTAACCTCGGTAATAATCATTGCTAAGCTTATTTCGTGCTTTCATGAATTTTTAAGAACACCTTTGTAGAATGAACGTGAAAAGAGCAACTTGCTAGAAGTAGTACGATTCAATAATACATTCGAACAAAAGCGACCTTAAAAATAATTGAATATGCTTTTGATAAAAGAAATGACAATTATTTTATTTTAATTATGATAGTGCGTTTGTTTTTATGATTTTAGTTTATATTCGATTCATGTTTAATGTGAGGTTTTAACTAAATAATTTGAAATAAATTGATCAATTTCAAAAAAAGATCATATTTTAAATTTCGACTTGAATCCACAAATTCCACTATTACGACAGCGTATAAGCGATCATGTATCAATTTTAAACATTGTGGGTGCTAATCATTCCCCACACGTAACCGACTCTCGAGTTCTTAGAAATGAATCTTTGGTTGACGCATAATAATTTTTGTCTTCTAAATATTTTTTCTTAAAATTGTTTTAGAATACTTTTTTAGGTTCTCGACCTACCTAATCCAAAGTTTGATGACGACTCCCATCATCATTTAAAAAATATCGAACTAATATTTATAACTTGTGAAAAAAAAATGGTTTCGACACCAGGCGAGGTCATCCCCTCACCCACTACTATCTCACTCATTTTATCCTCTAGAACGTTATGATGCGCTTATTAGTCTTTTATATATATTAGACTACCAAATTGCACTGAAGGACTATCTCACTCATTTTATCCTCTAGAACGTTATGATGCGCTTATTAGTCTTTTATATATATTAGCTTACCAAATTGCACGGAAGGAAACTTTAGTCATTTCCACCTCTAAGATCTCTAAGCGTTTTATGATTTTACGACAAATGTTATTACTATTATTCACTAGTTGTATTATTAGCTAACCCAACATTCAACTCGAGTTCACTATTTAGTGGTGACATTTTAGTTGCTCTCATCATGCTTTCCCTCGATTCACCCTTGAATTGAATGGACGATTGGTACACTATCATCATGTATAAATAACTCGAGTGTTCCTACTATTTCCCGTGTATCTAACAAAGGCATAAGTTCTATGACGTCTTACTACTTAAAGTTCTTAAGCCTTTACTGAATTCATTCGTTGTTCTCACTTATAAGTACATTATGGGAGTTTTGGTGGTCGTAAACCCTTTCCCGAGCCCTTAAACTAAAGTTGGGTTTCTTGTCCAATTCAAAAGTCCTTTAGTATCGATGGAGTATCGATACCATCCTAGGTACCGATACTAAATTTTGCTTTTGGAATTCGTGCAATGATGGTATCGATACCTCACTCTTTAGTATCGAGAATAGTATCGATACTTTATATATATAGTACGATACTACCTAACCAACAACCCTGATACTATTAATTTTTATATTTTTAAAAAGTCTTCATGACCACCATTTCGATAAAGCTAAACGTCTCATATCATTATTTAACCAATATGCAACTCAAACTGTTACTCGTATAGGCTATTTCCTTCACGGAGGCTCATAAGAACAATTTGGCAATTACATCTCCTAAGGGCATTTTAGTAACCTCCCACTCTTTAATCTATTTGAGATCTTGAAGTTACTCAACCACATTGGATATTGATATCAGGCCGTCAATATAAATATCAGTTTATCTTATATGGATACCAACCGATCCTGTATGGATACTAATCTTTCGGTATGGATACCAATTTATCTAGTATAGATACTAGCGGTATGGATACCAATTTATCTAGTATAGATACTAGTGGTATCGATACCAACCATCAGGTATTGATATCAGCTTCTAGTATCGACACTAGAACCCTTAGTATCAATACCAAGGGACCGATATCGATACCAGATAAATTGGTATCGATATTGACACCCAAAAAAACCATTTTCCACCCAGGATATGAACAACATCGATATCAGTTCATCCAATATCGATATTGTTATGCTATTTCACTCGAAAAATAGCTCCAAATTTACCCGAGACCCTTGTTTTAAGGTCTAAATTGATATTAAAGGTTATAAAAGTCATTAGGGGTCATTATTCATCATGATTGCACCAACTTAACACTTCCATTATAACAAATCAAGCACCTAAGTCCCACGCATGCTATTCCACCCCATACAAACAAACAACTTAACACTTAGAACGTCCATTATAACAAATCAAACACCTAAGTCCCACACATGCTATTCCACCCCATACAAACAAAAAACTCATGTAGATTACTACTTGAGTAGATTACATATGAGTAGATTACATACAAGTAGTAAGAAAGATTTATAGTGTATTACCTCAACTCCTAGCTATCCAAATATCTTTCTAGATTCTTTAATAATTGACTTTCTCATTGTTTTCAGGGGTTCTTATACCACTCTTCCACCACTTAAAAGCCATAACAAGATTCCAACATGAAAATAAAGAACACAAAACGTTAAACAATTAAACTACATGAAAATCAAATGGAGTTATGGAAGGAAGCTCTTGAAGCTTAAACCCTCTCAAAACCTAAAATGAGTTCACGACCATCATTGAAGAAGATGATGAACCCATTTTAGAGTTTTATAATTCAAAGATCATGAATATCACGTTAGATTTTCGGATGGGTGAAGAAGATAAAAGGGGGTTGAAGAAGAAGATAAAAGGGGTGAAGAAGAAGATAAAAGGAGAAGCCTTTAACTGTGCTTGGGTGAAGAAAAAAGAAAAAGAAATAAATGAGAGGTAGAGAAGTGTTGAAGAAAAATGAGAAAAAGAGTCTTCATATTACCTAAAATAAGCCTACGTTAAACAACAAAAATCGTACCCACGTAAAACAACAAAAAACTTTCCTAAATGGAAAATTGACACTTTAAGTACCTTTTTTATCACAAGCTTAAAAATCTCCTTTTCATTTCATGTAAGGCTAATTTCTTATTCGATTGATCCCGAATTGGATCCAATGAAACTTCATGGTATAATAAATCTATTAAATAAATTCTTAGGTTGACACAAAATTACTAGATCGGTACTCGAGGCACTACAGACTCCCTTATATTATACATGTTTTTTTGAATGGTATAAAATAATTACACGATAATATCTATTAAATTTTTTTAAAATTTTCTTAGTTATTGATATATATATATATATATATATAACTAGAATAAAATACTAAAATTTCATATTTATGATGAAATAGTATTATTTATCCATAAGGTTCAACTAGTAAATCTAATACAGTTTAACCCATCTTAATAGATGGAACACAGAAATGGAACACAAACATTATGGATTAGATTTTATTCATAGAAGTATTTACTTTGCCTGAGGTGATGAAGGAAATCCCCAAGACATCAACCTAGCAGTTTCTTTATATCCTTCTGCAAAAGACATCAAAGGCAATCAATTAGTAGCTTCATCATTTTAATGGTGTGATGCCATGAATGCAATACGAATGGCACAAATGGATATTTACCTCGATGCTAAGAGGAGAAGTGGTGGGAGCATATCGATCAACAATGTGTCCCTCCTTGTCCACCAGGAATTTGGAAAAGTTCCACTTGATATCGTCCCCAAGGAGTCCACCTTTGCTGGACTTCAAGAATTTGTATATTGGAGCTGCCTTCTCACCATTGACATCGACCTGTACATCAAATTACAAGACAATGAAGTCGGTTTCCATGATACTCAACTCCAATCAAGAGTAGAAAACAGGCATAAAGGCAAGTTGAGATGAGGGGAAGAGCTGATATCATAAATGAAAATGCCATTGATTTTACAATTATGTGGCTCGCGCAACATCAAACACCATCTTATCACAGGGACAAACAGGATAAAGTGTTCTACAGACTGGGAAAGACTGGTTATTTTCAGCAATGAAGATTCAATTATGAGATAAAACTACACTATAAGAGTATTTGACCTATTCTGAGAGCTCAAATGGGGAGTTTGTTTATATGCATCTTTATTCTTTTTTTGAACTGTTTACTTATCTTTGACTCCCAACACTAGATAGATCTTATCTTGCCATAAGCTAGCAATACACAGAGTAGAAACCCTACCGCACTGGAGGTGGCCGGTGCCTTTCACCGGATCAAATCATATTTGGTTTCAAGTTGTTCAGAAACATTAATTATGTAATTACAATAAGCAAAATCATTCATATATAGCCAAAGGATATACCTTATCAAATATGGGGTATTCAGCTTTAAAGCGAGTGCAAGCAAACTCCAAGATCTGTTCATTGTTCCCTGGCTCTTGACCTCCAAACTGGTTACACGGAAATGCCAGAATCTCAAAACCTGAAAGAACAATGAATACAACTTAAGTCACTGTACAATCCACAAAAATGGAGCTAAAAAGATGCTAAAACAAACCTTGATCTTTGTATTTCTCATACAATTGACTGAGCTCAGTGTAGTTGGAGTTGGTTAAGCCACTGTTTCAACATTTAAGCAGCAGATTAAAATCTATGAATATCTAGAAGATAAGGTAAAAAAAAGGCTAGCATCTACATATTTAATCCAATGAATCCTAGTTTACGAACAGTTTAGCCTTAAAAATGTCTACTTTGTTATATAGAGGTACCATTGTGATGCAACATTGACAATCAAGAGGACCTTGCCCTTGTAAATGCTTAAATCAACGTCATTTCCTCTTGCATCCTGAAGAACCAATACAATTCAAAGACAAATTAAATTCGAAGTTAAATTGATTTTGTGTACGGAGAAAAAAAATTATACCCAAACCGACCTTAACAGTGAAGTCATGAATTGATCCCTTGGAGGATTGAGCAGCCATGGTATGATCAAATCTCAAACAACCAGCGAGAGACCTGAGAAGCTCTGTTTGGATTGACCGAGAGACCCGATAAACTGGCGAAACCTGAGGAAGAATCAAAAGGGTTTGCTTGGCAGTGGGTGAGAAACGCTTTCCCAAAAGAAGAGAAGCAGAAGCGGCAATTGTGCTTAGATATCTTCGAGAAAGCATATTTCAAGTAAAACTGTGGAACCTTTTGGAGCCTCGTGAAAAATCTGGGTGACGCTTGTAGGATCGTGGAGATGGTATTTACACGTGGAGTTTTCAGCTCCTTACACGTCTGATTAATCAAGGCCATTTGTCGACGTTGAGGTAATTATGGGTCGGCATTTCTTGTATCGTAATGGTCCAATGGAGCCAATTTAGCGACTTTCTGTAGCTTTCCAAAGAGATTTTCGATTGGAAGAAGATATGTGTGGATAATAACACTTAGAGATGAAATCTTGTAAGGTTTTAGTCGGATTTTTTTTAAATCAAGTCAAATATTGACTATATCTTATGTCAGGCCAGTTTAATGCTTCAACTTAGATCTAAGTCAGGTTTGAGTTAAATCAATTCGGTTCATTTTTAGGTTTTGAAATTAGATTCAGTTTAGATTTATGGCGAGTTAATTTCAGTTTTGATTGATGTCAGTTCAGGTCAAAATCATTCATGTTTAAATCAGTTAAATATCAAATTAATTCAGGTTTGGATGGATTTCAGGTCGAATTTCGTTCATATCGGGTCAAATCATTGACAAACAAAATTCAAGTCGAATCTTATCGGGTACAGATTGACTTAAGGTCAAGTCATTTTGAGTTAATTATTTTTCGCTTTCATGAACGTCGAATTGTAATTTGTAATTATATATGATTTGGAGTAAATTACAAAAAATATAAATAATTATGGATCAATTTCATATAAAAATATAATTTTAAGGACTAAATTGAACAAACATTAAATTACAACAAAAATTTAAATAAATTAAACAATACGCATGGATCAGGAATCAAATCGAAATAATTATAAAATATAAAGTTAAAATTAATATAAAAATCGACTAAATTGCATCCATTTGAAAAGTTCGTGAACAAAGGTTTATAGGGTTTAGAGATTATGATATAATTTATAGAGTTTGAAATGAAGTTTATTATGTGACTTATAGGTTGAAGTAAATTAAAAAAATATAAATAAATATGTGTCAATTTCAGATACAAATATAATTTTAACGACTAAATTAAACAAATATAAAAATATAAATTTAAATAAATTAACCAACAAGTCGTGATCAAATCAAAATACTTGTAAAATTTGAAGCTAAAATTAATATAAAAATAAATTGAGTTGTATTCATTTCAAAAGTAGAAGAACAAAAAAGTTACCAGATTTTGTATGTTATAATATAACTTTAAATTAAATTGAACAAACATAAAATTACAAATTGTAATTTAAATAAATTTAACGACATATATATATATATTAAAGCTTAATCAATGGTTCATATAAATTGTATTTTATTTAATTAAAATTAGTCACATGACAACTTAAAACGATTGAGCCATTTTAATGTGTACATCTTCCCAAAACAAAAGTCAAAAAAAGAGGGGACCCATCAATCTAATGCAATGGCCAGTAAAAACAAGCTTTGCAACTAGTTTTTTAAACAAATATAATGTATTATAAAATGGGTTTTTATTATTTATCATTGGGTCTTATTTAATGGGTTAAAAAAGAAATGCATATAGACTTTTATATTTAAAAAATATTTTTTATAAAAGTAATTAATTTTATTCAAAATAAGAAATATCTCAAATTATAATGAAGATTTACGATCACAATCGTAAATTAATCAAATAATTAGGAAAATATTCTATAATCTTTGAAACAAAACTAGCAACTTAAGATCACATAAAGATCATATAATGAAAGATTAAATATAACCAATAAACTCGAACAAAGATAGATACAAATAGATCTGATTGTATCGACAAACGAACTACAAAAGGAGATCAAACTATTAAAAGACCACCGACAAACTGCAAATCATACTTGAATGACGTGAAAAGCTATTCATGAACACAAATTGGATATCCAAATCCAATCCGATGGTCCAAATCAGGGAAGATCAATAAGATACCAGATAAGTTCATCTTGATCAATTGTGACGATGTCAAATCAACCCTTTGAAAAATGATAAATGAAAAAAAAATGAAAGAACCGAAAAACAAGCCAAAAAACATAAAAAAGTCGACAGATGAAAACGTGCAACACATGCATACTTATTGAAAATTAAAAACAAAAAAAATAAAGATATGATAAAAAAAGATAATAAAGAATATCGGCGGTCGACAACTAACATTAAAGTTAGTTTCGTAGTTGATCAACAAAGATAAAAAAAAGAGAGATAAACGGCACACCAGCGAGAGAAAACTAAGTTTTTAGGGTTTGACGGTTGTAGATACTCATTTCTATCCGGGGATTTCATTCGAGTTTTTGTTTGTGTATATAAATATTATTAGGTTTGCTTATATGGGGTTAGTTATTAATTATTATCACCATTAACATTAACTATATGTTATTAGTTAAATATTTTCAATCAAGTAGGAATTATTAGGTTATACTATTATCGGGGTGTATGTCCATATATTATATATATTATGTTATATCAAGCATATAAATAAATAAGTAATGGTAAATATATATGTATATCTAAACAACGAATATTAAATAAGATACTAATTAAATGTTTATTTTACAGGCCCAAAGCAATTTACAACATCCAAATAGAGACCTGAATCAGAGCAGGCCTAAACCAGTTGCAAGCCATATATCACTAAAAAACCTAAATCCAATGGGTTTTATGTTAAAAGACCTAGTGCCGCCGGGAGCCTCCACCATTGGATCTGATGAGATTCAATGACCAGAACGCGAGGAGACTCGAATCGATTTTGGATCACACCACCTCAAATCATAAATAATTTTAACTCAAATCGTTTTAAGTCATTTTTGCATATCGGTCAACTTTTTAATCCCTAATAACAACACTGTTTGATCTGTAAAGCTTTCTAGTCTCCCGATGGACGTTTAAGCTATTAATGGTAAAGTCAATTTTGCATGTCGGCCAACTTTTTAATCCCTAATAACAGCACTGTTTGATCTTGTAAAGCAATCTAATCTCCCGATGGACGTTTAAGCTATTAATGGTGCAGACATTAATTTTGGTCTGCCTAATTAAGCCCTTATGTTTTGATTCATTCTAATTGGATGCATAATTTTGATTAGTAAATAAGCCTTACAGTTTTGATTATTTTCAGCTATGTCCTAGAACTTTAATTTCCCCTCAATTCGGTCCTTAATTTAAAATGAATTAACAAATTTGGCTTAGTTTCTTAATTAAACTTCAGCCATAATTTGTAGGTTTAAAAAAATATGGTCCTTAGACTTCTAATTGATTCCTATTTAGTCCTAACTCGTAGGTTTAAATAAATTATGGCCCTTTTGATTTATAATTTGTTAAATTTTGATTCTAATAAAATTCTCTAATAAACCCTGAATATCTTTCTATCTTCAATTCAGCATATTTTGACACATTTGTTACTTTTTATGCATTTTTTTTTATCTTTTTTGCTAACCTCCCATGTAACTTTTTACACAACCCATTCTCGCACCCGACCTTCCTAATAGTGTTAGATACATACTTGATTCATGAGTAGTCAATCATAGCTAGTAAAAAATGACCGATGATGACTCCATCCAATTGACGAACTGTTTAATGATTCAAATTTTTTGAAGAACCACACGATCTCGAAAGGTTTAAGTTATGGTTTCATGAACCAACGACCAATCATTTGACATAAATCTACCACAGGATTCACATTATAAAACATGTCTGGCATTTAAACAAGCTAATAATTGCTTTTTGCTTTTTGCATTTTCACTCACATTCTTGAAAGCAATGGCTTCTTCATGTCAGATCCACCTTCACTTTTTGCTGCCTTCAACCGCTGATATTGTAGTCTTTCTTTGACTTTCATGAGGACTTGATGCACTTCATCAAAGTGAGGATTTGTAGCATTTCTTGTACTCTCGATCCACTGCAGGACTTTCTTGTGTGGACCCAATAACCTAGCACGATCCTTCTCATCCAAAACCTACATCCAACAAACTCTATCAAATTTCAACGTCTTTCCAAATAATACACACATCATGCAGACACAACTGCTTGAACCCAAGTCTTTTAAGGAGAACATCTCCTTTTACCACCGAGGCTACTCAATGGAACATATTTTATGATGCTTAAAAAGGATATGGCCCTAAAAGGTGCATGGAAGATCCAAGAAACAATCAAATGTACTGGAGAAAGACTCAGTTGCTCCTGTAGTTGAGCTGATTACAGTGATGAGAGGTTGTGCAGGACCGTCGTAAAGGAAAGACGTAATCCATGGGGGGCGAACCTGAACCTATATCATAGAATCGAAATGTGAACAAAAACATCAAGTAAATGTACCTCAAGTTCCATTATTTCACAGACGAGGCTAAGATCTGCTATGGATGGCTGGTTTCCACCTAGCAAAAAACACCCATCATCCTTGAGCCAAAAGGACTCTAACTTTGAAAGGGACGACAACAGAAGTGTCTCAGTTTCAGCAGCTGCTTGGGGAGTCAATGGACGGCCAGCTACATGGGCTATTGTAGCATTGGAAACATATGTGTCTGAAAACACAATCATCGAGTTCAAAAGCCATATCTAACCCAAGGAAGGGAACATTTATATGAATAACCGGATAGACAAGCATACGTGATGGAGGTGACAAAACCACAGTTAAAGCGAATTCGAGTTTAAATAAAAAGCCAAGCACAATCATTTAGTAATGTGAGAGGTGCCAAAAGAAAGAATAGAAGAAAATTTAGCATCTCTGATACTATACTATAGTAATTAAGGAAGCCTACCAAGAGAAAATGCTGACACTGTAATCGCATTGACCCAGAAGGGTTAACGAAATGTCATAAAACAAGACCGCTAGAAATATGATTCTACACCATCAATAACAATTCACCAATCTTTTAAACATTTTGATTCTTTTCAGGGTTAATTATACACCTGCACCACGACGTAAGTTGGAGTGATGCCAATCCAACACCGAATGTATCCTACTTCTCTTGGCAACATCAGCTGGATACCTTAAAACATGGACAAGCAAATTTGTTAGCAATTAAGTTGCAGATTCAAACTGAATGTAAAATGTGCCAAAATATACCGATAATCCTTTCATCAAAACAGCACAAGTTTGAGTAAAAAAGTAAATCAGATAGATACCAGTATGTAAGTTGGTCATCTCATAAGATCCTTCCAGCATTAACACCATATAACACAAGCCATGAACATACCACTTAAGTTATTTAGCTATCCATGTGAAATTAGTAATGTAGCACTGTAAATATTTATAATCGTATACAGAAACTGGGCAACGAACTCCATCAAAGAAGCACCAAAGAAATTCAATATCAACAGACACTATCCATGTTCGTACCCTCCTATATCGTCCAAAACATTATGTAACATAGAATGTAAGACGAAAGAGAAAGCAACTTTACTTACCAATGGTCCGCAACTCCAGGAAATACACAAGCAAGATAGATCAGAATGGCATGGCTGCAATATATATATATATATATATATATATATACATATAAAGCAAATTTGTAGGAAACATCTGAAATGATGGGGAAAAGGCAAGCGGGTAAGTGAAATACTCTTCAAATACCTCTCAAACAACTTAAATCCTCCATCAACGATTGCTGGCAGCCGTTTCATGGGATTTATTTCTGCAACAGAGCCATAGGGTTAAAATTTTAACACGTGATATCTACTTTCCTATAAAAGTGTAATTCAGAAAATAATTTGATAACACTAATTTAATTGACTATAATTTGAAGGGTATATTAATCAAGAATGAAAGAATACCTGCGAATTCAGAAGTTAAATGCTGGCCCTTTGAGATAAGTACTTTGATCTCCTCATAGTCTATACCATTCACCCTTCCCCCCCCCAAAAAAAAAGAACATTTAAAAGAATAGAGAAAAACCCAGATAATAGGTGAAAACAACTAAAAGAATTGAAATTTACTTGCAGAAGATGATGACAGCACGAGACGGCTGAGACATTCGATCTGCGTATACTTTGAGCTTCATTTTTTTCGCCTTCGTTTACGCCTCTCTCCACCTCGAGATTGACTACGAATAGCAAGTCGGCATTTTGGCTTTATCCATTTAAATTTCCTTCACGAGGTAAAAAACATAGGGTTCATCGAAAGCGTCGTCGTATTGACCCTAGCTATTACATTGATAGTCTCCCCTAATCTCATTGGCGTCCTCGTTTCAGCTTTCGGAGTTTGGAACCCTCACCAGTTAGGAAAGGAAGTCAAAGTTATATCTTGTAAGTCGTTAAAAGTTTGATCTTTATCTTCCTTTTTGGTGCTTTTTGATTCATTTCCCACCTTTCCTTTCATTACTTACAATCACTATTATCGAAGTGTTTACATCAATAAATTCGCGTCCTTTTAGTCTGGTTAGTTGACAATGAGACCTCTGTATCTGCAGTTAAATTCGTTAATTGGAAGTTGCTTTAGCCAGACTATAGCTTCTGAAATTGTTTGATTTGGTTCTGCTTCACCCAATTTTTGAATTGCAGTGTTCAAATCAGAGCATTAAAGAAGATGGAAGTAAACAAGGAGAAGTACGCTGCTGATCTCTCCTCTATCAAAGAAGCACGTGCACGTATCAGTTCTTTCGTACACAAAACTCCAGTTATGACCTCGGAGTCTCTTGATGCCATTTCTGGTAGGAAGCTGTTCTTTAAATGTGAATGTTTCCAAAAGGGGTAAGAAACTAGTAGTTTATGGTACATGGAATCATTTGTTTTCATGTTTTGATCTTAATTTTTTATCAATTTAAGACTCTCCTATATGTTATCTTGACAGGGGAGCATTCAAGTTCAGAGGTGCTTGCAATGCTATATTTTCACTTGATGACCAGCAGGCTGCTAAGGGAGTTGTAACTCATAGCAGGTTTACTTCAAAAGTCTGATATATTGCCCTTCATCAGTAATCTTCATGTGTTTCATTTCCCTTTCTATTTGATTGGATTTGACCTGATCGCATTCTTCGAAATTAGCGGTAACCATGCTGCAGCATTGGCGTTGGCTGCAAAGTTACGCGGGATCACTGCGTACGTAGTCATTCCGAAAAATGCACCTCAATGTAAAGTTCAGAACGTTTTGCGTTATGGTGGTCGGGTTATATGGAGTGAGGCAAGGGTGCAGTCAAGGGAGGAAACTGCAACCAAAGTGTTGCAAGAAACTGGAGCTGCTCTTATACATCCATATAATGATGGGAGGATTATAAGGTGGTACATTGAAAATTTCTAAGCTCTGAATGCTATGGTTTAATGTTTTATTGGTGAATTAAATGATAGGAAATGTTTTTCAGTGGGCAAGGTACCATATCACTGGAGCTTTTAGAGCAAGCCCCTCATATAGACGCTATAATTGTTCCCATAAGTGGTTTGTGTTGCAGCCTTTTTCTTTCTTTTTTTCTCTCTGTTTCATGTTTATGGTTATTAGTCCTGCATGATCATCACCTCCTGTCGTTTATTTTCGGGAATTTGCAGGAGGTGGCTTGATATCAGGAGTGGCATTGGCTGCCAAATCTATCAATCCGGCCATTCGGATTTTGGCTGCTGAACCAAAGGGAGCAAATGATGCAGCTCAATCAAAAGCCGCCGGTACCATCGTAACATTACCGGAAACAAACACGGTTGCTGATGGCCTGAGAGCTTTCCTTGGTGAACTCACCTGGTAAATGCATATCAATGGTGTCTTATTGATGAGTGAAGAATATATTCAATATGTCTCATTCTATGCCATTTGATTGATTAGGCCTGTAGTACGTGATCTTGTTGATGACATAATAACAGTGGATGATACGGAAATCATCGATGCAATGAGACTCTGCTATGAGATTCTTAAAGTTGCAGTTGAACCAAGTGGAGCCATAGGCCTTGCAGCTGTCTTATCTGATAGCTTCAGGAGCAACCCTGCATGGAAGGACTGCAACCAAATAGGAATTATACTTTCAGGAGGTAATCTAGATCTTCAAGTGCTGTGGGATTCATATCGAAAATGAAGGTTACATTTTTATTGCTACTCTTTTGGAAACCATTTATTTTCCCCTTTAACTTGAGCTTTGACCTCTAAATGCTTATATGAAATCCAATTGCTTTGTCTGCAATTTTTAGTCCTAGAGTTCTCAATTTTACATAACCCTCTGAAGAGTCCCCTTCCTTGAAACTGGTGAAGAACAATCAAACTGCAGTCGACTGGCTCTATGCACTAGAGCCAAGTTGACTTGATCGATTAGCCTTCTCACCGTCTCGCCGGAAAGAGGAGTTGTCTAGATTTAGTATGAAGAAGGAAAACAACAATTCAGGCATCAACTATTGCTTGTTGAGACTTTCCCAATAACCTGTCTCCCATTTTTTCACTTGCAATATTGAGTTGTTTTTTCTTCTAAGAAACGCTGCAAGAGCTCGAGGGTCATAAGGAGGAGGCAAGGTGCATGGATTCGTGATGGAAGGACCTTTCACCAATGATTCCATCATGAATTTCTTCTTTCGGCCTTGTAGCCCTTCGGCATGACAGGCAATTACCTCCGAGCACAACTCCGTGGCACCTTGGGGTATTATCGGCTCAAATTTCAATAACTTGGCATACTCATTTAACAAATGAAACATATAATCATAAACGTAGTCCATTTTTAGCTGCTCCTGCATAAAGCTACTGGCTGCTTTTCCAATTTCTTGTGCCTGCCAAATACATTAATATTTTGTATCAGGTTTGACAAACGCCTTGCCGAATACCAACATTAAATAATTTGGAGGGTAAATTAATTCAAATGTCACTAAATTTTAGGATTCATATCGATTTTATCATTAAACTTTAAAACGTTTCAATTTTAACACTAAACTTTGATTTTTACTATAAGCAACCGTTAAATCGTTAACAAGGTCATGTCATAACATTTTTTCTTGTGAACTTCATTTTGTGTATTGATTTTATCATTAAACTCTAAAATACTTTATTATTAGACACTAAACTTTAATTTACGTATTATTTTGGTCATACAAACAATTGTCAAATCTCTCTTAACAAATCGAAACTGAAAAGTTTGCATTTCAAACTTTCTTTCTCTTTATATTGACATTTCATTTAAAGTTCGACAAAAAATCTATTTGAAGGTTTGATTTTCTAATACTTCAATTTCTTTCGACGTCTATATGACGAAACTAATTTTAATATATGTTGTTTATTTTCTCAAAGAAAAAAAAATCTCATAGGTGAAATTTTCAAACAAATATCTGAAACCCCTAAAATTGAAAAAAGTCCACAAATCTAACAAAAAATAGTGATTTATTTTGTGTTTAATTCTGACAGTTTTGTAGAGAGAAAAATCTAAATCGAAAAGGTGGCAGAAGACGGTAAGATTACTTCGTTGATTGCTAAGGTTAGTAGGTAACCACAAAATCTAAATCAAATCAGCACCAAATTACCAAATCATTCGACTGTTAATAAGTTAATGATTTAATATTTTAAAAGTTAAAATTGAATCTTTTTAAGGTTCAGTGAAAGAATCAATATAAACCTAAAATTTAGTGATATATAGAGTAGTTTACCTAATTTAAAAAATTAAAGACAATTGATACCTTCTTTTTGTGATTGTTGCCCCAATCCACGGCAAACTTAAGTGATCTGCATTTGTCATCATTTCTTACAGGCCAATAATGGTCTACGGGTTGCATGCTTCTCATGAAGAAATCATAGAACTGAGGTTGTACCATCAATGTGACTGAATCACAGGCCAGAATGTATTTCTCGCTAACAGACCATGCATATCCTTCAATGTATATCTTGTACCTGCAAAAAAGAAAACATGAATTTTCTAAACAACAGAAAAAAAAAATTAAAAACGCTGTAGGAGAGCCAAAATATTTACCTATACGTGCATTGATCGGCAACGTTGGATTGTTTAAAACCTTGTTGGCCTTCAAGGATCCAGTCCTGCAAACCAGGGCTGTTAATTCCAGAATTGTTTTAACAAAAAGATCAAAGGGTTTTATTCCCAGAATTCTCATTTTGATTTCCACCTGGATGAACAAGCGAGCATTCCAGTCTTGTTGATCAGTGACATTGCATTTAAGAAGGTCCTGCCTATTTACATCCACAAATGGATTCCCCTTCCAGTAGGCATAGGGTTCCCTATCTGTCCATTTGATCTTATTATTTCCATGTTTAACATCTTTCAGTATGCTCTCCCATGGTTTTATGTTTATTTCCGCCCTGGAGGATAAACATGAAGAATATAATTAGGTATCACAGTGCTATCACATGCAGAAAAATGATAGACCACTTGTCAGTGAACAAGGGACCCTTTAGCAGCATGCAGCAGGCCATTAATTACATTTGGCATTTGTTTCACATTTAGAGCTGACAAGTGTGTATTATACCATGCAGATGTCAACAAAAAGTGTTGTAAATCTGTAAAAATGAAAGCTTTACCATCCCCAGAAGGACCAATCAGGGAAGACTATATCCAAAGTTTTTTTGTCTCCGCAGTAGCGAAACAACGGTGGTGGGGCTGTTGCATTCGGTCCTCTGTAGTCCCTTGATCTGATCGCCGGTCGGTCTTCGGTGTCGAACATGATTTCCAGGTCCGGTAATCCGCCGGGGTATTTCCTGAGGAGTTGTTGAATGCCCCAGATGGTGAAAACATCTCTTGTTTGAATGGCCGGTCTGTAGTTTTTAACGTAGACTTTGCTCCCTTTGATTACGAGGTGAAACGTCGCTGATCCTTTAGCTCTTTCCACCGTGTCCCTGGTGATCCCCGAGGTTTTCCAGGGACGTAAATCTTCGTGGATCCATCTAAAATAATCGGGACAAACAGGGTTTAATGAAGGATCAATGTCTTGTGTTTGGAATGTCTTGGGATAATCCGTTGGACAGGTTTGTGTCTGATTTTTACTGGCGGTACAGTTGAGTGGGATTTCAATTCTCTGTATGGGAACGGGAGTTTTTGGTTTCTTAGATACTACCATGGTATTGTTTTTGTCATTTGAATTCTCAATAAAAACCACCGACTGCAAAAATAAAAACAAAAACAAAAACCTCTAAAAATTGCAGAATCTGGCATGAAGCAAGAGCAAGATTTAGTACTTAATACTTACAGTGTCAATCCATGAAGAATATGTAATTAAGGCAGTCATGAGTACAACAGACAAGACAAGAAGAGCTGCGGTAGTTGGAGTTTTCCTTTTCAGTGGAGGCCGCCATGGTGGTTTCTCAAAGAACTGTCTAGCCAGTCCAGATCCCCGCAACATGGAATCTCGATATGCTGCCGATCGATGAAGTTCAGTGAAGTGATTTCTTGATGACGAAGGCAGAGAGGATCAAGAAGGTAGAGAGGAAGGGTAGTAAACAAGTTCCAAGTGAAGTTTGGTAAAGATAAGTGTGGTTTAGCTAGAGGACAAAGGAGCAGTGCAGTGGATAATTATTAATCGAGAGCTTGAGATATAAAATTCATGGATCTCTCCATTAAACGCAATGCTTTGTTCTAGACTCTAGTAGTGGAGGTGTTTGAATGGTCATCAACGAGCAAGTGGCCGACGCCTCGGAGTAATTGGAGGAGAGTAGGGACCACAAGAATTTCTATGTACTAAATTGTCAACCTTCTACATTACTCTCCAGATTTTAAAAATCACATTTATTTGTTTTCATAGTTTATAAAAATAGTTTTTAATATTACATAAATGGTCACTTTATTTTTTATTTTTAGAATATTTTAATTTTAATATTTTAATTTTTAGTTGAAATAATCTCTATTGGATGAAAATTTTTAATTGATTAATAGTCAACATATGATGATGTAACATTATCTAACAGTCAACATAAATTATTGATATGATATTTTTACATGTGTTTAATTGATGTTACGACATACCACATTACTAATTAAGCATTTATAAAAATATCACGTCAATTACATGTATTTACTGTCAATCAACTAATGATTTTCATTTAACATACGTTTTTTCTAATAAAAATTAAAATATCAAAAACTAAAATACTCTAAAAGAAATAAAAAATAAAATGATCATTTATACAAACGTTAAAGCTTAGTTTTGTCATTATACCTAATTTTTATGCCTCAAATACTATTATGCCATAATCATTTGGGTTGTTGAGTTTCGGCTTTGTTTGTAATCAAATATTGGTTTGGATTCAGGTGTAATGTCCTGTAAATAAGATCTTTCTTTTAGTAAATCTCACATAGAAACTGTACGAGTTGATAGTACTTTGGGCTCATTATGAAACGAGGCATAACTTCCCCATTGGGATGTTCAAAGGTTCCTATTTATATTATGTATAAATTATTAATTTAATATATATATATATATATATATATTCTAATTTGATAAAATTTAGTTATTATATCTTTTACTATTAAAAAGAAGTTATTATATTTTTTAAATTTTAAAATTTAAATCATAATTTAAATAATACAAAAATAATATAATTAAATTTCTTAACTTAAAATTATCAAATTAGATCATTAAAACTGAAACTACAACTAATATATAATATAGAGACTAATGGTAGATTTTAATTTAATAAGTTTCGTCATTATTTTGATCATGACTGATTGAAATTTCAAAATTTAAAAAGTACAATGACTAAATATGATCACATCAAAAAAATATGGATTAAATTTATAATTTATGTATAATATAAATAATAATAGTGAAATTTAACCTTTGCTATTCAAAAAATAAGTAATTTGTTGAATAGTTTCAATTTGATAATAATAAAATATAAAGCATTTGAAAAAAATATTTAATTCTACTTATTAAATGAATTTGATGATAAAAAATGTTATTAGAATATTTAAATTTGAGCAATTATGATTTACAATTTACAAGGTATATTATCGGTTGATTAATAAATTTTTTAAATATATATTATTTTATTATCACCTCAGGATATTAAAAGAAATGTTATATTTTTTCCCTAAACATTCTCCCTTGCTTTTTTTTTCCTATTGAAAGACTCTCGTGCTTTGTTTGTAATAGTTTGAGAGATTCTTTAATTAAATTTTCGTTAGGTTGTAACACTAAAATTATCATTCCATCGTGATATTGAAAAAAATAATCGATTTGCAGAATACTTTAGAGGGTAAACTATACTAATGACACACGTCATCATATGATAGAAGAAAAATAATTTTATTAAACTAAACACATCAAAATAAATATAGCTCTCCCTCAATCAAAGATTCACATACGTAGCAATCTAATTAAAAGATAAAATTTATTATATTAAATTAAAATTAAAACCAAAATAATAGAATATACAAGTAATAATAACAGAATATGTAATTATACAAAATGTTTTAACTGTCATGCCACCTTCTCCATTTAATGTTAATGGTAACTGACTTGATTATATACAATTAAATAGTTAGGTGGTCTTATTGATAAAATTAAAAGATAGATAGTTAAAGTAAAAGAGTTTAATAAATAAGTGATCATTAATATAGTTTACCCTAGTTACAATTTGGTATTGAAGTTACATTCACGTGGGAAATACCCAATTTCCTCAAACATTGGTAACAATAAGTTTTGGTAGCAAGGGACAGAGGAGAGGCCAAGTTGGCTAAAAAATTTAATAAGGTGACAGCAACCGGTAGACAAAAGGCGAGAAAAAGGCAGTTTCTGCTGGGTGTCAACCAACCACAAAGTAGTTCTTAATATAGAATTATAAACAAAAATTAATTTTTAAATCAGATTAATTCGATAGCAATTCCTTAATCCATCTCCTTGATTCCTTGTGAAAACTCCCAAAGTTATAAAAATTAGATTTGGCCTCAGTAAAAGACAGCAACATATTCGCTGTCTTGGTAGTGAAATGTCGTTCTATGATTCATATGTCAGAGGGCTCCATTGAGTGTCGGTCAGATCACAAATTATCTATTAGTCCCTCAAGAAATAGTCAAATTATAAAATAATTTCTGTAAATTTATAATTTCATTTTGATCCTGAAAGTGCTTGAAAGAGTTGATGCTTTCAATGCAGGAACAGGATCCATATTCTTTTTTTCCCCCTAATATAAAAAGGTCGAGTCATTGTTCATAGTGGCTGATGCAAGCCATTGTTACAGCAGTTGTGCATATCTATAAATATGCAGCATCCTTGACGTCCCTTCCTCTCTTTAAAGTCTGATATTTCATTGATCTGTAACTTGGTTATGTCTTGCTCGAATGGCGGCACGGGTACTTTGATTTCGCTTTCCTGTATTTTCCCATCGGAAATATTTATATAGTAACATTTTAGTCTTGAATTGCAGAAGGTGGTGGTGAAAATCATGACCATGAATGACGAAAAGACAAAGAAGAAAGCTATAGAAGCTGTTTCCGACATATATGGTATGATACATACTCGATCAAGAGACGTTTTTTTTCTCTCTCTAATTTTGTTTGGTGAAACATCAAGTTTCTGACGTGGGATTTTGATGAACAGGCGTTGATTCGATAGCGGCGGATGTGAAGGAGCAGAAGCTGACGGTCATAGGAGAGATGGACACGGTTTCCATTGCCAAAAAACTCAAGAAAATAGGGAAAGTGGAAATTGTCACCGTGGGACCTGCTAAAGAAGAAAAGGAGGACGACAAAAAAGATGAAAAGAAGGATGACAAGAAATGATAATTTGAATTTCAAGTTCCTGTCTTCTTTACTGTAAACAAATTGAAGTTCGTGTTGTTTTCATATCCTTTAGATTAGCTACATGATTAAACATGGTAATAATACGGTATTCACTGTCGTGCATGTTCGTTTCATTTGCTGTTTCTTCCAGAACTAAGAACACACAAGCATGCAGAAATGACAAATTAAGAGCAGCCTTCTTTGGGCCTCTAAGCATCCAATAACAGGAAAGCATCAATCATACATCATGATTTTACATTAAAATTACTATCTTAAAGCTCGCAGTTCGATGATGGTCGATAGAAAAAAAATCATTTAAATAATGATCAAGATGCTGCTGATGCGATGGACCTAACTTGGTTCCGAGGTCAGCATGGCTTCAAAACTTCAGTTGCAGACAAATTTTTGGCATCAGCTTGGGGAATAAAGAGAATATAAAAATGGGGAAACATGCCTGGAATCCATTTTAGATTGCTCTTCATTCCACTATCTTTTTGTTTGAACCTAGACCTTCAAACTTGTCTCTATCGGCATAAGCATTAAAGTCATCAGCTTTTTTCTTCTTCTACATATCCTGGTTTGGATCTAAAGAATTGTGAGTACAAAGTACACAAGAAGGGGAATAATGACGTTGACTATCTTTGGATCTAAAATGTATATACGATTGTACAAATTGTGAACAGACCTGCAAAGTAAGCATAAAACAGGGACAAAAGATGTAGTAATAGCTAAATCAACGCTTACAAATGTTTAAGAAAAAATAAATAATTGGTAGAAGATCATTCATGTTGGATCCAACGCATCAGTTTCGATGTCTGTTAATGTAATTTGTTTTGATGATGCTTGTATCGTCGGTGGTGTGTTTCTTCTGTGGTTGTGTGTTCAGGTCAGACATTTTTATCCAATCCGACCTGATTTCCAATCAAATTGAAATAACTGAAATCGTAATTTTTTTAAAATTTTACATTATTATATATTTTAAATATTTTTTATTAATAATTTAATTTTACCTTTTTAAAATTTTATAAATTCATCCTAACGTAAAATAATGTTTACATCTCTGGTATCAGATCGAGAGAAATTTATTTGGATAACAGACTTGTGAGCTCCGCGGTTCATGGCAGCGCAATGCCATCGTCGGGCCAAAACTTGGGTCCTGTTGTACTAAGTAGGTTGATACATCCGGTCCCCATGCTTGGGAAGCGCAACTTTGGTCCCCATGCTTGGGATAAGGTCACCTTTGGCATTCTATTTTGAATTTCTGGTGTTGGCAAAGCTGCACACATTCAATCCCCTGTCTAGGGTTGTAAATGAGACGAGACAGATCATGAACTACTTGAGGTTGACTCGATCAAGGCTCGATAAATACTCGGATCGAATAGACTCGACTCGAGCTTGAGCTAGACTCGAGTTCTTAACGAGCCGAAACGAGCTACTCGGTATTCAACTCTAAAAGCTCATGAGCAGCTCGAAAATATAACATATTAAGATTTTATTTTTTTAGAAATAAATTATTAATTATAAAAAAAATACAGTAAGATTTCTTGTATTTAAGGTTCATGTTCAAGTTTGAGTTTGAGGCTTCAATCGAGTTAAGTTTAAGAATTTTTTTTCTTCATTTCGAGCCTTTTCGAGTTGCTCACGAGCTTCAGTTTAGGATTTCGAGTTCGAGTCAAGCTTGAAAATTTTAAGCTCACAAGTTTTCGAGTCGAGTCGAGCTTTATTTCAAAGTTTTCGAGTCGAGCTTCATTTCAAAGTTTTCGAGTCGAGTCGAGCTCAGCAATACTCAATTTCACTCGATTCGCCCTGTCCAGCTCATTTTGATCTTTCTATTGTCAATTTGTCATTAGCAAGTTTTCACTTGGCCAGAACAAGGGAAAAATTCAACGAGGTACACTTTTTTTCAAGCCCCAAAATTAAGGTTGGACTTTTGGATTTTTAAAAATTAAATAAATATTTTTTATAATATTATAAATATACTTTTTCTATAAATATTTCATATGATTTTTATAAAAATATAAAAATAATTTATTTATTTTTTTAAATAAAAGTGAAAAGTTAATCTTTTAATTTAATAATGAATTAATAAGTATTTTTATTTTGTGTTGATACCGTTATATAAGTTAAATATAAAATGCGATGAAATTTAACTAAATGACTAGCTTAGTTTATTGGTTTAGTGATTTGTTTATTGTATAAGAGACCTAAGTTCAATTCGTAGGAGTAAGAATGATTTTTAACTTTTTATCCCCATAGGTGATGACATGGTTGACACATGTCTCGTCTAATTGGTTCAATAAAATTAATTAAAAAGTATCAATAAATAAAGAAAAATGTGATGTGATAATTAAAAATTAAGAAAAATTGACATGTTATGTCACATAAGCGTTGTCGTTAATGATTTTAAAAAATAAATTTATAAATGATCTTATAATCTTTTAAAATAATCTAATTTACTTCCTTTAGAAAAAACCTAATTTTCTCTTATTGGTGTACCACTCATCTATTTTTTTCTGTCTTTGTTGATCGAAGATGAAACCAACTTTAATGTTGGTTGTTGACCGTTGATATTATTTATTGTCTTTTTATTCTCTATATCATATCATATCATATCATATCATATCATATCATATCATATCATATCATATCATATCATATCATATCATATCTTTATTTTATTTTGTTTTTTGTTTTTCAATAAGTCTGTATGTGTTGCACATTTTCATCTGTCTTTATGGTACATTTTCTTATATTTTTTGGCATTTTTTATTCTTTGGCCGTTTTTTCATTTATTTTTTTAAGGGTTGATTTGACATCGCCACGACTGATTAAAACAGAGTTTATTTGATATCTTGTCGATCTTCCCAGCTTTGGACCTTTGGATTAGATTCGGATACATGATTTACTTCATGTATAACTTTTCACATCGCTCGAGTCTGATTTATGGTTTTTTGTGGTCTTTCAATAGCTTGATCTCCTTTTTTGGTTCGCTTGCTGATGCGATCAGATCTGTTTGTATCTATTTTTGCTTGAGTTTCTTACTTAGATTTAATCTTTCCTTTTATGATCCTTATGTGATCTTAAGTTGCTACTTTTGGTTCAATGTTTATAGGAAAATTTCCTAATTATGTGCTTAATTTACGTTGTGATTGTAAATCTGTTGAACAATGTTTTATAATATTTTGATATAACAAATTAAGGCAAAATGTTTTTGGATTTTATTGAATTTGTTCAAAGTTTTCAAAAATAATTCAAAGTCCATTAAACTAGAATTTGAATACAAAACAGTTTTCTAGGTACGTAGTATCGATATTGTTCTTACAATATCGATACTACATGAACAGTACCGATATTGTTCATGTGGTATTGATACCAATGGTAAGAGAAGTATCGATACTCTCTAGGTAGTATCGATACTACCAATTGTTTTTCAAATTACTCAAATTCCAGAATGTAAAATAGGTACCGATACTCAAGGGGTACCGATACTACTTTACATAGTGGTATTGATACAATGAAGCATAGTATCGATACTAGTCAAGTCCAACGGTCTTTAATGGCTATTTTATTTAAATATTACAAATGTAGTACTGATACTCAGTAAAGGAGTACCAATACTCCCTGTTCTGGGCAGCTTTATTTTGCATAAAATTAATCCCCAAACGACTCCAAAACTTCCCTAGCTGCTAGAAACAACCACAAACTCATTCCAACATATAAAAACAAGTTGAGGACACTTGAAGAAAAAGACCACACCTATCCAAGCAATAGAGATCAAGAGAAAAGCTCTTTCACTCTTTATTTTTCCTTTTCTCTTGTACATATGCATTTGAGCTTATTGCAAATATTTTAATTGTTTTCTTGTGAGCTTAAATCTTGTAAACACCCTACCTTTGAGAGGTTTTTTTGTTTACTTATTTTAAGCTTGTAAAAAGGGAGTTATTTTAGTTTAGCCATCGAAAAACTAAGGGTTTTGTAACGGTTACTCTTGAGCCTAGAAAAAGAAAAAACAAATTAGTGAATTTGTTAGAAAATCCTTAGTTTGGAGCTAAGGTAATGGATGTAGATTTGATTTAGAAGTTGAACCACTATAAATCATTGTGCAAACTTTCCTATCTTTTCTCCTCCACACCCAAAATTTTTCAATTGGCCAATTCACCCCTCTTAGCAATTATTTGGTTCTTTAATTAAGCTTCATCAATCCTAACAATTGATATCATATCTTGACTCATTATAAGGTATAACAACCTTGAGATGATTCTTAAAAGAGCTCTATCCATACTCTTCTCTAAAGAAGAAGACGAATGAGCGGAGTGCCCAAGAACAGCAGAAAGCACAACAAAATGCTAATGTCATGCACATGTTATTTTGTGCATTTGGTTTCGATGTCTATGAAGAAGTTTCTTCTTGTTCAAATGCCAATGAGCTTTGGAATAAGATCGAAGAGATTCATGGAAACAAGAAAGAAGAACCAATAAAGGTGATGTGCTTAATGGCTCCTAAAGAACCCAAGGTATATTCTAACTCTAATGAATTTGATTCATATTCTTTTGATGAGTTACAATATGCATATGATGAATTATATTTAGAGTTTGAGACCATGAACTCCAAATATAAGAAAATGATTTCAAAATTTAAAGGTTAAAATGATTTTCTTTTGAAAGCAAAAATGGATTTTGAAAATCAAAATGAAATTTTGAAAAGGGATTTAGAGCTTTCAAAGATGGAAATTGAAAAACTTGAAAAAGAAAGTTTTGATTTAAAAGTTAAACTTGAATGCTTAACAAAAGAAAATAAAATCATTTTAAATAATTCATCTAGTTTTATAATGGCAAAATGCTCGCATTGTCATTATAATGGTCATTTGGAACATACTTGTCCTTTAAAGAAAATAAAACATTTTAAAATTAGACAAGTATGAGTTTCAAATGGAATAAGGGGCATTGAAACTAACATTCAAGGATCCAAAGCAATTTAGATACCAAAATCCAATTAAATGTCTCTTGTAGGTATGTGGGAGCAATGGTAATGAAAGTGAATATATTCATATGCCCTAGCCACACTTGATATGGAATAGGTAACCTCTAAGCTTATTTTGATTATCTTGCATAATTGAATGCTCA